TAAATTCATTCGGTAACGGCACTCGAACAGCCACCTGGAATGAAGACAGTTCAGTATTTGAGGTTCCACTGTATATTATTTTTATCTCCTTAATTATTCAAACTACATTAACTATAAATATTACCACCTAGACACCTTTGTTATTAAAGATCTCAACTTTTATTTTATTGATTTGTATTCAACCATTGCAATCCAAAAAGTGCTATTGAGAAGCCACATAATTTACTGGATAACTAGACTAAAATTCTCTCTGAAAAATTGTTACGGACCCATAAACAGGCTAGATACTGGAGATAACTTCACTTAATACAGGTCCACATCTCTTTATCTGAAATTTGAAAAGTTCTGGAAACCGAAGTTTTTTCGTGGCGTGTGGAGCGTCAGTCATCTCAGTGCTGGGTCGTGCCGCCATGCAGCAGCGTTGAGAATCATTCTGAAATTCGAAAAAGTCTGAAATTCGAAACAATACTGGCCCCAAGGGTTTCGGATAAAGGGATGTGGACCTGTAGAACTCGCATGTTTAAAGTACAGTATTAGGATACCCATGTATTACAGTACACTCTAAAAACACTCATTCTTGGTTAGGGTATTCTGAAATCTATATATTGTATATGGCTGAATGACCAACATATTTTGAGTTTTTATGAATAATGGGAAGTACTGTGCCTGTACTTTGAAGGATTGGTGGGGATATTGACTGTTTTGATTTGTTGTATCGGTGCCCTTCTGGCAAGACAGTGATGGTGAATGCATTTCTTCTTTTAGGGTCACTCTGCTGCAGTGGGAACTGTCAGGTGTTAAAAAATATAGAGGTTTTTCAGTTTTTCCTGTGTCTGACATAGGTATACTAGGTAAAAATGTTGAATAGGCCTAATGCTGGGCTGTGAGAATAGGAACACAAAAACCATCAAAGTTATATTGATAAAGAATAAAAGGCACAATACCATGACTGGAACAATACACAACCTGCACATGGAAACTTATGATGTTTCAGTCCAAGTCTGACTGAAATGTCATAAGCTTCTCTCATGTGCGGATTATTTATAAAGGTATATTGACAGTTGTGAAGGGACTCGTAGCTATCCTTCCTTTACCTGGATCAACCCTGATTGACCACCATTTCTCTGTATGACTGTTAGGGGTTTAATGCTTCCTAATTAATATAATACAGACGGCTACTTTGTGAAATTAGTAAAACCCGATTTAATGGTTTTCGGTTTTAACAGACAGAACCTATGGCCAGGCAACACTCAGCAGCAGTGGACAAAGTCTGTTAAATCCAGAATTATCTGTTACTCTTATAGTTCAGTGGTTAAATTCATTTCAGATTTAATGGACACAGTTAAATGTGAATTATTTATTATGTCCAATTATTGTAGTTTTCCTGCTGAATTTGCTTTCTAATTTACCAGTTTCACAAGTTTGTTAAATCCAGCCATAACCCGGCCAGGATAGAACCCGCGGTCAGAGTCTCAAAACTCCAGCCCGTCGCGTTAGCCACTAGACCAGCTAGCCACAATAAGATTCATCCAACTAGGTATATTTCTACACCATAGGAAAGTTAGCACAGGCACCTCTGTGACCACAAATGCAAGTTTTTACAGACGGCAGTGAAGGGACTTGAGCTAGAGTTCGTCACGGCCACGCTAGCTGGAGATTCGTCTGTAAAAACTTGCATTTGTGGTCACAGAGGTGCCTGTGCTAACTTTCCTATGGTGTAGAAATATACCTAGTTGGATGAATCTTATTGTGGCTAGCTGGTCTAGTGGCTAACGCGACGGGCTGGAGTTTTGAGACTCTATGACCGCGGGTTCAATCCCGGCCGGGGGTATGGTTTGTTTGCAATCGTGTCATTACGATTTCTTAAGTCTTTTTAAATCCAGACTTGTCTGCTACTTTATGACGATGGAAAAATGTTCCTGTAATTCCAATTTGATAAGACTATAACAGCTGCCCTTGCCAGCCTATTGTTTTTCATTTGTGACACAGGCAGTGACTGGCTAGATATTGTTAAACATATTTAGAAAGAAGCATAAGATTAGATTATTTTTTTTAACATGCTGGCTGCCTCCCACCAAGGTAGTGTGATCTGATAAGGAAGAAATGTCAAGTATTTTGTTATATATTTAGTAATTTATTATGTGAGTGGTGAGCGGTGCACTTAGGAGTCTGTGGAGACAAAGAACTTTGTCCTTGGAGGCAAAGACGGGAATGTATGAGAGTACATGTATAGTTTTACCAACACTCTTATATGGGTGTGAAGCGTGGGTGATGAATGTTGCAGCGAGGAGAAGGCTGGAGGCAGTGGAGATGTCATGTCTGAGAGCAATGTGTGGTGTGAATATAATGCAGAGAATTCGTAGTTTGGAAGTTAGGAGGAGGTGCAGGATTACCAAAACTGTTGTCCAGAGGGCTGAGGAAGGGTTGTTGAGGTGGTTCGGACATGTAGAGAGAATGGAGCGAAACAGAGTGACTTCAAGAGTGTATCAGTCTGTAGTGGAAGGAAGGCGGGGTAGGGGTCGGCCTAGGAAAAGTTGGAGGGAGGGGGTAAAGGAGGTTTTGTGTGCGAGGGGCTTGGACTTCCAGCAGGCATGCGTGAGCGTGTTTGATAGGAATGAATGGAGACAAATGGTTTTTAATACTTGACGTGCTGTTGGAGTGTGAGCAAAGTAACATTTATGAAGGGGTTCAGGGAAACCGGCAGGCCGGACTTGAGTCCTGGAGATGGGAAGTACAGTGCCTGCACTCTGAAGGAGGGGTGTTAATGTTGCAGTTTAAAAACTGTAGTGTAAAGCACCCTTCTGGCAAGACAGTGATGGAGTGAATGATGGTGAAAGTTTTTCTTTTTCGGGCCACCCTGCCTTGGTGGGAATTGGCCAGTGTGATGACAAAAAAAAAAAAAAATTAGTAATTTATACAGAAGGGGTTGTTAGCCCCTTGCTCCTGGCATTTATACAGGAGAATGTGTCACTAGCACATTGTTCCTGGCACTTATACAGGAGAATGTTACTAGCACATTGTTCCTGGCACTTATACAGGAGAATGTTACTAGCACATTGTTCCTGGCACTTATACAGGAGAATGTTACTAGCACATTGTTCCTGGCACTTATACAGGAGAATGTTACTAGCACATTGTTCCTGGCACTTATACAGGAGAATGTTACTAGCACATTGTTCCTGGCACTTATACAGGAGAATGTGTTACTAGCACATTGTTCCTGGCACTTATACAGGAGAATGTTACTAGCACATTGTTCCTGGCACTTATACAGGAGAATGTTACTAGCACATTGTTCCTGGCACTTATACAGGAGAATGTGTTACTAGCACATTGTTCCTGGCACTTATACAGGAGAATGTTACTAGCACATTGTTCCTGGCACTTATACAGGAGAATGTTACTAGCACATTGTTCCTGGCACTTATACAGGAGAATGTTACTAGCACATTGTTCCTGGCACTTATACAGGAGAATGTGTTACTAGCACATTGTTCCTGGCACTTATACAGGAGAATGTTACTAGCACATTGTTCCTGGCACTTATACAGGAGAATGTTACTAGCACATTGTTCCTGGCACTTATACAGGAGAATGTTACTAGCACATTGTTCCTGGCACTTATACAGGAGAATGTTACTAGCACATTGTTCCTGGCACTTATACAGGAGAATGTTACTAGCACATTGTTCCTGGCACTTATACAGGAGAATGTTACTAGCACATTGTTCCTGGCACTTATACAGGAGAATGTTACTAGCACATTGTTCCTGGCACTTATACAGGAGAATGTTACTAGCACATTGTTCCTGGCACTTATACAGGAGAATGTTACTAGCACATTGTTCCTGGCACTTATACAGGAGAATGTTACTAGCACCTTGTTCCTGGCACTTATACAGGAGAATGTTACTAGCACCTTGTTCCTGGCACTTATACAGGAGAATGTTACTAGCACCTTGTTCCTGGCATTTAGTAGTTTATACAGATGTTACTAGCACATTGTTCCTGGCATTTAGCAGTTTATACAGATGTTACTAGCACATTGTTCCCAGCATTTTAGTTGCCTCTTACAGCACACATGACTTAGAGGAAGGATTTTTCTCCACTTCCCCATGGAGATTAATCTGGACATTGAAAATAAAACATGTTGCCTCATTATTAATTTATTGGAAAATACATATACACAGAGCACTTAACATAGAGCACATAAGTCTTGACAACATTGGGTATTCATACCCCAGTCTGCACCTCCAGACGTAATAAGTTTAACTAAGGATGGATGCTGTTTTATTGCACTAGCCAGTTGCAGATACCCAAAAAAATTTTGACATCTTGTAACACTGCTGCTACAGCTGTACTGAAGAGAAAACTATATAAATATAGACATGAACAGTAGTTTGTGTACAGTGATATGATTATGTATATACAGCTAGAGCAGAGCTATGCTTGTGGTGTCCAGTACAGTATTTTCCAGCATATAAGACACACCTTTCTTCCCACAAAAAGCCTTGGAAAACTGCCCTGCACCTTACATGCTCAAGGTCAGGGTTAAGGGTAGGCCTTGGGTTATGTTTTTGCATAAAGTAAGAGGGTAATTAACCCTTGAATATGGTTATCACTTTACCATTATGATAATATTGTCGTGTGCCTTAGGTGTCAGAAAATGCAGTAAATAATTTACACAGTGTCAAGTTTCCAGTTGTTGGAGCACTTACAACTTCTTGCAAACTATTCTATTGTTCACTCTTCACAAAGATTATCCTTTTAGCATCTTTTCTTCATTTATATCTCGTTCCAGTTAATATTAGTCTTCCATGTTAATTCTTAAATACGCTTGTGTGATCTTGAATGTGGAGGACACTTGTGTACACTTAAGGACATATATTTATTTTAATGTTTTGACACAATTGGCTTTATCAATGCAAATACAGAATACAGACAGGCCCCACTTCACAGCACTTTACTTTACACAGCTTCTTTTATAGTGCTTTACTTTACACTGCTTTACTTTACACTGCTTTACTAATACAGCGGGTTTTAAAGTCACTCTTCATTTATTCAGAGTTGCTACAACAAATATATTGACTCACAAACACATTCATCGCTCACTATAACCTAAGGCTGAAAATATTTTAAGGTAAGTTATGTGTGCACTGTATATGTAATTTTTAGGCCTAGCTTTATTACTCACTTAATATATGATAGAGTAAACATGTTATCAGACTTGTATTTGCATTTGAAAGTGAAAAAAGGTTTTCACTTTACAGCAGTACCTGGACCCTAACCTGCTGTACAAGTGGGGCCCTTCAGTAGCCTGGAACCTAACCTGCTGTATAAGTGGGGCCCTTCAGTAGCCTGGAACCTAACCTGCTGTACAAGTGGGGCCCTTCAGTAGCCTGGAACCTAACCTGCTGTATAAGTGGGGCCCTTCAGTAGCCTGGAACCTAATCTGCTGTACAAGTGGGGCCCTTCAGTAGCCTGGAACCTAACCTGCTATACAAGTGGGGCCCTTCAGTAGCCTGGAACCTAACCTGCTGTATAAGTGGGGCCCTTCAGTAGCTTGGAACCTAACCTGCTGTACAAGTGGGGCCCTTCAGTAGCCTGGAACCTAACCTGCTGTACAAGCGGGGTCCTCCAGTAGCTTGGAACCTAACCTGCTGTATAAGCAGGACCCTCCAGTAACCTAGAACCTAACCTGCTGTATAAGCAGGACCCTCCAGTAACCTAGAACCTAACCTGCTGTATAAGCAGGACCCTCCAGTAACCTAGAACCTAACCTGCTGTATAAGCAGGATTTTCCAGTAGCATGGAACCTAACCTGTTGTATAAGCGAGGCCTCCAGTAGCCTGGAACCTAACCTGTTGTATAAGTGGGGCCTTCCAGTAGCCTGGAGCCTAACCTGCTGTATAAGTGGGGCCTTCCAGTAGCCTGGAACCTAACCTGCTGTATAAGCGGGACCTTCCAGTAGCCTGGAACCTAACCTGCTGTATAAGTGGGGCCTTCCAGTAGCCTGGAACCTAACCTGCTGTATAAGCAGGGCCTTCCAGTAGCCTGGAACCTAACCTGTTGTATAAGTGGGGCCTTCCAGTAGCCTGGAACCTAACCTGTTGTATAAGTGGGGCCTTCCAGTAGCCTGGAACCTAACCTGCTGTATAAGTGGGGCCTTCCAGTAGCCTGGAACCTAACCTGCTGTATAAGTGGGGCCTTCCAGTAGCCTGGAACCTAACCTGCTGTATAAGTGGGGCCTTCCAGTAGCTTGGAACCTAACCTGCTTTATAAGTGGGGCCTTCCAGTAGCCTGGAACCTAACCTGCTGTATAAGCGGGGCCTTCCAGTAGCCTGGAACCTAACCTGCTGTATAAGCGGGGCCTTCCAGTAGCCTGGAACCTAACCTGCTGTATAAGCGGGGCCTTCCAGTAGCCTGGAACCTAACCTGCTGTATAAGTGGGGCCTTCCAGTAGCCTGGAACCTAACCTGCTTTATAAGTGGGGCCTTCCAGTAGCCTGGAACCTAACCTGCTGTATAAGTGGGGCCTTCCAGTAGCTTGGAACCTAACCTGCTTTATAAGTGGGGCCTTCCAGTAGCCTGGAACCTAACCTGCTGTATAAGCGGGGCCTTCCAGTAGCCTGGAACCTAACCTGCTGTATAAGCGGGGCCTTCCAGTAGCCTGGAACCTAACCTGCTGTATAAGCGGGGCCTTCCAGTAGCCTGGAACCTAACCTGCTGTATAAGTGGGGCCTTCCAGTAGCCTGGAACCTAACCTGCTTTATAAGTGGGGCCTTCCAGTAGCCTGGAACCTAACCTGCTGTATAAGTGGGGCCTTCCAGTAGCCTGGAACCTAACCTGCTGTATAAGCAGGGCCTTCCAGTAGCCTGGAACCTAACCTGCTGTATAAGCAGGGCCTTCCAGTAGCCTGGAACCTAACCTGCTGTATAAGCGGGGCCTTCCAGTAGCCTGGAACCTAACCTGCTGTATAAGCGGGGCCTTCCAGTAGCCTGGAACCTAACCTGCTGTATAAGCGGGGCCTTCCAGTAGCCTGGAACCTAACCTGCTGTATAAGCAGGGCCTTCCAGTAGCCTGGAACCTAACCTGCTGTATAAGCGGGGCCTTCCAGTAGCCTGGAACCTAACCTGCTGTATAAGCGGGGCCTTCCAGTAGCCTGGAACCTAACCTGCTGTATAAGCGGGGCCTTCCAGTAGCCTGGAACCTAACCTGCTGTATAAGCGGGGCCTTCCAGTAGCCTGGAACCTAACCTGCTGTATAAGCGGGGCCCTCCTGTATAGGACATTCAGGCACAATGAGGTCCTTGCATATATATATATATATATATATATATATATATATATTATAGATTTAATTCTAATTTCATTAAATCTGCAGTGCATTTAATGGCTTTAACATCATAAAATGCCAATTTTTCTCATAAAAGCAATAAATAAAACCAATGCATTAAACCTTTATAGATAAATCTACAATATATCAGTTATTATCCTCCCCAGGATAAGATTCAGTAATAAATATATATCTGTATATATAAAATATGACACCTGGAATGTATTTTGAAATGAATATAAATAGTAGGAGTCGGAGTAAAAGGGCCACCTGAGTTGAGATTGCAGAAGAATTATGTAGGAACTTGTGTAAGTTTGGCAGGATTTACAAATGTTTTGTTGCAAGGTGCACTGCAGTGCCAGGTTCACGGTAGTGCCAGACACCCCAGTGGACCCTCCTGGACCAGTATTTCACTCAGTAATACAGTCAATTCTCGATGTAATGGACTTCTGAAGCAAGATCAAATCCTGGGTAAGCTATATTTTTTAAACTCCTTTATTTTCAATGTTTATTGTGGTATAACTATAAATTATAAAGAACATAAAGGCACAATACAGTGACTGGAACAACAAAACCTGCACATAGGGAAGCTTATGATAATGTTTTGGTCCTACTTGGACCATGAACTAGTGCCAATGTGCGACTAGTTAATAGTCCAAGTGGGACCGAAATGTCATAAGTTTCTCTCCTATGTGCTGGTTGTTTGTGTATAAGTCGTATGTATAGTGGAGTACTTTAGTTCATTTAGATTTTTTAACATTCAGATTTAATGGACACTAAGAATCTTGCATCTCAGGCCCCAGTAGGGTCCGTAGGTCATCTTATAATCAGTGTGGTGCCCACTTTACCACTGCCTACTAGGATACTTTGCCAGGTGTGACTGACATCAGCTGGGAGATGGTTTAAAAGACACGCGAGCAAATGGTAGGACACGTGTTAGAAAAAGTTTTGGTCCTGGGACATTAATCAACTCCAGCCTTAGTAGTGATCAAGGTCCCAGGACCAAAACATTTTCTAACATGTCCTAGTGCTTGGTCAGGTCTTTTTAAACCACTTTTGGTATCAGTTATCAAGGTTTATACAAAGCTGGGAGTCCAGTAGAACCATACACCAGAGTTAGTATTCAAAAAGTGGAGGAATCTTTTGGCCTTAAACTTCTGGTGCAAAAATTCTTCCTTTAATGACGTTTCCGCTTAATGGCCCTGAATGACCCATCTAGGTGATAATATACAGGTTGGCCATCACTGATCCTGCACTAATCACACTGAAAAATGGATGGCATAAATTGCGGCTAGGGTTAACGTTTGAGGCTGCACTCTGTGATCTGGCAAAATTACTAATCTAAAACCCTACTGGTCCTAGTGATGCTGAATTAGTGATGGTTGACCTGTACTGTAATCAGTATGAGAGCTAAACCTGAAAGGGTTATATAGTGCTGCAGAGAGGGATGTGCTAGGGGAAGAATATGCAGTTTCAAGGGATTGAGGGGTAGGGTGTACAAGAGCTGGGCTCAAGGCTGGACTCTGGGAAGAAAAAAAAAAATCTTGGAACTCTTCAAAGGTAAGGTGAAGGTTAGTGGGGGTAGGGAAGAGCGCAAGAGATACATTAATGTTGGTGCAGAAAGTTAAGTTTGGGTTAAAGGATGAGTGCATCTGTGTTAAAAGGTGGTACTTTAAGCAAGGAGGTAAGAGTAAGTGTACTGTAGCTGGGTTGGTAGCGTACTCAGCTCACACACCGAGGTCAATGGTTCAATCCCCAGTATGGGTGGAAACATTGGGCATGTTTCCTTAAGACACTAGCTGTGAGTAGGTACCTGGATGTTAGTGGACTAGTGTGGGTGGCATCCTGGGGACAAAATTAACCTAAGTTGCCAGAAATGCTCTGCATAACCAGGGACTTTCTATATTACACTTAGGTCATTGATGTCAGCTATGGTCTGTATAAATTGTACTGGTAGAAATAAATATTATTATTGTAAGTGTGGGGAACACATCCCACCTAGAATTCTACCACTATTAACCTAAATGAAGAGGCAGATATGAAATATACACAAATAACCCGCACATAAAAGAGAGAAGCTTACGACGACGTTTCGGTCCGACTTGGACCATTGACAAAGTGTGACTGTCAATGGTCCAAGTCGGACCGAAACGTCGTCGTAAGCTTCTTTCTTTTATGTGCGGGTTATTTGTGTATCGTTCCAGTCACGATATTGTGCCTTTTTGTTATTTATTCAGATATGAAATAGTAGAGTCCTAGAAAGGTGTTTGTGCAGACCATAGCCCAGCCTTATGGGTGATTACACTAAATTGCTGATATATGCGAGAGCCTTGTTCCTGTGAAAGGATGTCTTTATCAGGGTCCTGCGTAAGTTTATTTAGGCACAACTACAATTATAGTGTAAATTGCCTAGAATAACCCCAAAAAGGACAAGTGACATTTCCATTGGGGTAAAGCCCATACAGGAAAGGGATGGTCCCATGAATCAGAGGTACTACCCCAGTCATACAAGACCTGGGAGAATAGCGGGTAATCAGGTTTGATCCAAAGAAAGGAAGGTCGGGATTAATTTCTTTGAAAGTCGCCAACATCAACGTACCTGATTGAAGAATGAGAGACTTGGACAACATTTGGGAAACTTTATTATGGAAACGTTTTATCAGCCAGAGGCTTCTTCAGTTCAGTACAGAGAAGAGCAAGAGGAGTTTGAGGTAATCACTCCCACAGCCTGGTAGTTGAATCTAGGGCGAGACACTAATTACCTCAAACTACTACTATTCTCTGTATTAGACTGAAATAGCAAATGGTTTCTTTTAAGACTAAATCTATTGCTTATTTAATATATGATAGTGTAAATGTTATCAGGCTTTTATATGTATTTGAAAGTGAAAAAAAACACTGTTTCACTTTACAGTGATTTTCACCGTAAAGTATCTCGACATAACCTGCTGTATAAGTGGGGCCCTACAGTAGCTCAGAAGCTAACCTGCTGTATAAGTGGGGCCCTACAGTAGCTCAGAACCTAACCTGCTGTATAAGTGAGGCCATACAGTAGCTCAGAACCTAACCTGCTGTATAAGTGTGGCCCTACAGTAGCTCAGAACCTAACCTGCTGTATAAATGGGGCCCTACAGTAGCTCAGAACCTAACCTGCTGTATAAGTGGGGCCCTACAGTAGCTCAGAACCTAACCTGCTGTATAAGTGGGGCCCTACAGTAGCTCAGAACCTAACCTGCTGTATAAGTGGGGCCCTACAGTAGCTCAGAACCTAACCTGCTGTATAAGTGGGGCCCTACAGTAGCTCAGAACCTAACCTGCTGTATAAGTGGGGCCCTACAGTAGCTCAGAACCTAACCTGCTGTATAAGTGGGGCCCTACAGTAGCTCAGAACCTAACCTGCTGTATAAGTGGGGCCCTACAGTAGCTCAGAACCTAACCTGCTGTATAAGTGGGGCCCTACAGTAGCTCAGAACCTAACCTGCTGTATAAGTGGGGCCCTACAGTAGCTCAGAACCTAACCTGCTGTATAAGTGGGGCCCTACAGTAGCTCAGAACCTAACCTGCTGTACAAGTGAGGCCCTACAGTAGCTCAGAACCTACCCTGCTGTATAAGTGGGGCCCTACAGTAGCTCAGAACCTAACCTGCTGTATAAGTGGGGCCCTACAGTAGCTCAGAACCTAACCTGCTGTATAAGTGAGGCCCTACAGTAGCTCAGAACCTAACCTGCTGTATAAGTGAGGCCCTACAGTAGCTCAGAACCTAACCTGCTGTATAAGTGGGGCCCTACAGTAGCTCAGAACCTAACCTGCTGTATAAGTGGGGCCCTACAGTAGCCCAGAACCTAACCTGCTGTATTAGGGCCCTACAGTAGCTCAGAACCTAACCTGCTGTATAAGTGGGGCTCTACAGTAGCCCAGAACCTAACCTGTGTAAGTGGGGTCCTACTGTAGCCCAGAACCTAGCCTGCTATATAAGTGGGGCCCCACAGTACCCCAGAACCTAACTTGCTGTACAAGTGAGGCCCTATAGTACCCCAGAACCTATCCTGCTGTATAATTGGGGGCCCTACAGTAGCCCAGAATCGAACCTGCTGTATAAGTGGGGGCCCTACAGTAGCTCAGAACCTAACCTGCTGTATAAGTGGGGCCCTACAGTAGCTCAGAACCTAACCTGCTGTATAAGCGAAGCCCTACAGTAGCTCAGAACCTAACCTGCTGTATAAGTGGGGCCACAAAGTACCCCAGAACCTAACTTGCTTTACAAGTGAGGCCCTATAGTACCCCAGAACCTATCCTGCTGTATAATTGGGGTCCTACAGCAGCCCAGAATCTAACCTGCTGTATAAGCTGGGCCCTACAGTAGCCCAGAACCTATCCTACTGAATAGGCAGGCCCTACAGTACCCTGGAGCCTAACCTGTTGTGTAAGTAGGGTCCTACAGTAGCCCAGAACCTAACCTGCTGCATAAGCATGGCCCTACAGTGGCCCAAAACCTAACCTGCTGTACAAGTATCCCAGAACCTAACCTGCTGTATGAATGGGGCCCTACAGTGGCCCAGAACCTGACCTGCTGTATAAGCAGGGCCCTACAGTAGCCCAGAACCTATCATGGTGTAATAGGAGGGTCCTACAGTAGCCCAGAACCTAACTTGCTGTATGAATGGGGTCGTACAGTAGCCCAGAACCTAACTTGCTGTATTTGCAGGGCCCTACAGTAGCCCAGAACCTAACCTGCTGTATGAATGGGGTCCTACAGTAGCCCAGAACCTAACTTGCTGTATTTGCAGGGCCCTACAGTAGCCCAGAACCTAACCTGCTGTATAAGCTGGGTCCTACAGTAGCCCAGAACCTAACCTGCTGTATAAGCAGAGCCCTACAGTAGCCCAGAACCTATCATGGTGTATAAGCAGGGCCCTACAGTAGCTCAGAACCTAACCTGCTGCATAAGTGGGGCCCTACAGTATCCCAGAACCTAACCTGCTGTATTATCAAGGCCATCCAGTAGCCCCAAAACTAACCTGCTGTATAATTAGGGCCCTAGAGTAGCCTAGAACCTAACCTATGTAAGTGGAGCCCTACAATAGCCCAGAACCTAACCTGCTGTATAAGGGGGAGCCCTACAGTAGCCCAGAACCTAACCTGCTGTATAAGTGGGGCCCTTCAGTACCCCAGAACCCATCTTGCTGTATAAGGAGAGCCCTACAGTAGCCCAGAACCTAACCTGCTGTATAAGTGGGGCCCTTCAGTAGCCCAGAACCTAACCTGCTGTATAAGCAGGGCCCTACAGTAGCCCAGGGCCCTACAGTAGCCCAGAACCTAACCTGCTGTATAAACAGGGCCCTACAGTAGCCCAGAACCTATCTGTATAAGCAAGGCCCTGCAGTAGCCCAGAACCTAGCTTTCTGCATAAGCGGGGCCCTACAATAGCCCAGAACCTAACTTGCTGTATTAGTGGGTCCTTACAGTAGCTCAGAACCTAACCTGCTGTGTAGTGGGACACTGCTTGTAGGTATCAATAAATTCAAACTGATCTAACATTTCTTTTGAAAATCCTGGAAAAAAGTCAGTAGAATAGTAAAGTTAATAGATTCGTGTTATACAGTAAGTCCTTGACTTATGCACTGAGGACCTTAACTGTGTATAATAATGTATAATATACGCTAAAATGATATACAGCCTCTTCTCACTTGGCGACGTACTCGTTTACCGACGATTTGGACTTACGATGGGCTCTCTGACCAGTGTTCATTCCTAAATAACGTGTATTAGAGCTGCTTTCCCCACGCCTCTCTTACATTTTTTTGCTTTTCACTTTGAATTTTTATTCTCGCAAAAAATAGATTTACTGTTATGCAGACTACTGCATTAGTGTAGAAATGGTATAAATAATATCAGCGCACTTGTGAAAGAATACAGTGGACCCCCGCATAACGATTACCTCCGAATGTGACCAATTATGTAAGTGTATTTATGTAAGTGCGTTTGTACGTGTATGTTTGGGGGTCTGAAATGGACTAATCTACTTCACAATATTTCTTATGGGAACAAATTCGGTCAGTACTGGCACCTGAACATACTTCTGGAGTGAAAAAATATCGTTAACCGGGGGTCCACTGTATTAGACTCGCCAGTTGACATGTATTGGACGCGTAGCATGATTTGTTTACTTTTGAACTTTGGTAATAATCGAACATTTCTGCTACTTTGAGCTCAATTTCAAGGTACTTTTCATTTTAAAACTAGTTAAAATCATCTCAACTTCTGTAATATGTCTTCCATTCTATAAAATGAGACCAGGAAAACTAGAATACAACAATAAATACCATACGAAAATACAGTGCAAAGTCGCTGTTTTAATCCAAAAACACGGTCAAAGTTTTTTTCTCATTACGCACTGTGCTGCAGGATTTTTTTTTTTTTTTTTTTTAGACTGCGCACACTGACCACATCGACCCATTCTTTCATATGTACGTGTGGCATGCAAAGAGTACGCAACCTTTATTCGGCGCATGTACACACCCTCATTTACAGGCTATCTCCCCCAACCAGTGAACCAGGTGACTGAGGGTTGACGATGGGGCCTCGTCGTTCAACCAGTACCTAGGTTCCAGCCAATAAGAAGATGGTTTTGGTAATCGCAGAAGTTATGTGGGTACCACTCTCCTGTCTGCCCTTGCCATTCCCATTCTAGAGCTGGTTGAAGCACGGTTTGCTCTCTAGTGGCTTCTATTCTGCCTTGCTTACCGTGGAGTGCACTAATACCTATCGCTGTACATAGTGTATATAGTGTACATACTTCTGTTCTAAATTGGTGAAGGATAATATAAGTCAAAAGTTTTCTGCTGTGTTTATTTTGCTCCCTTTACACCCAGGATAACAGGCCATTTGGACTCCTGGGTTGTAATATGGGGGCCTGTCCGGGAGCTGAACCCGGGACCTCTCGCACCCCAAGCGAGAATCATACCCCTAGACTGTATATTGATAATGACCTCCTGGAATTATGAAGGCAGAGATCTCCTTAAAGGTTACTATCAGGTACCTTTGACGGATAAGGCGAAGGAAATCTCTGCCTTTGTAATTCCAGGAGGTCATTATTAATCGCCGGGTCACCATCTGGAGAAGTCCCTGGCTGGAAGTACCGGCAAATCATCAAGAAGTCATTATTAATATACAGTTACCCCCTTCAGAATGAAAAACTCCCCCTCTTCATTCCAGAAACTTATCCATCAGGCTATTAAAGGACTTGAAGGCACGGCAGCGTACCTGGATGATATTGTTGTGGTGTCTGATACTTGGGATCAACACCTATTTAGGCTTAAGGCTCTCTTTGAGACCTTTCAGAGTTCCCATTTAACTGTTAATTTATCTAAGTCTTCCTTTGGCCAGGCCACTGTTACTTTTCTAGGCCATGAAGTAGGTAGTGGTAAAGTTGCTCCTAAACTTGCTAAAGTTCTTGCCATTAAAGATTATCCAGTTCCACATGATAGGAAATCTCTTCAACGTTTCCTAGGCATGATAGGATTTTACAGAAGATTCTGTAAGAATTTTTCAGACATTGCAGCCCCTCTTACCAGTCACAAAGTTCCCTTTAATTGGACCCCAGAATGTCAAAGTGCTTTTGATAAAGCAAAAAGATTGTGTACTGAACCCATTCTTTTGTCTCCAGACTTCTCCAAACCTTTCTCATTACAGTTTGATGCTTGTGAGTCTGGGGTTGGGGCAGTACTATTGCAAAACGGGGACCAGGAGTTGCAGCCTGTAGCCTACTTCTCAGCCAAGTTCCAGCCGCATCAGAGGGCTTACTCTACCATTGAAAAAGAAGCCCTTGCGCTGGTACTGGCTTTGGAGCACTTTGATGTATACGTGGGACAAACTTCACAGGTGGTCACTGTCTACAGTGATCACAATCCTCTAGTATATCTCCAAACCATGAAGAACCACCACACGAGGCTCATGAGATGGACGTTGAGACTGCAACCCTATTGTTTGAAAATTGTACATATTGCCGGCAAAGAAAATATGTTGGCAGACTCTTTATCAAGAGTCTAGCAATATTATTTATAATAATTATACGTATATTAGGTTAGGATGTGTTAGGTTACTTGTGGTAACCCCTTCCAAGCTCTTTCTTTTTATCCCCTGGTGTGGTTTTTTTTTTTTTAGTGAGGGGATGCGGGCTACCGTCCGCCTGTTTCTTGGACCTAAGCTAGCTCGACTGTCTACTGTCTTGCTCTGAGTTTAGGGTTTGGCTTTTTGTCATGAGAAAAGCTGAGCTCTATCTAAGAGTTGGATGGTTGAGAGGAAAGGCAGTACCATTACTTTGTGCCATGGCAGCACATGGGAGGTGGCAGCCTAATCCTGAGCCTTCTCGGGGTGGGGGTGTGGCATGCAAAGAGTACGTAACCTTTATTCGGCGCATGTACACACCCTCATTTACAGGCTATCTCCCCCAACCAGCGAACCAGGTGACTGAGGGTTGACGATGGGGCCCCGTCGTTCAACCAGTACCTAGGTTCCAGCCAGAAGATGGTTTTGGCAATCTCAGAGGTTATGTGGGTACCACTCTCTTGTCTGCCCTTGTCATTCCCATTCTAGAGCTGGTTGAAGCACGGTCTGCTCTCTAGTGGCTTCTATTCTGCCTTGCTTACCGTGGAGTGCACTAATACCCACCGCTGTACATAGTGTATATAGTGTACATACTTCTGTTCTAAATTGGTGAAGGATAATATAAGTCAAAAGTTTTCTGCTGTGTTTATTTTGTTCCCTTTACACCCAGGATAACAGGCCATTTGGACTCCTGGGTTGTAATAGTAAGCCTACCAGCTTTCTCTCACTAGATTTGAGGGGGCTAGAATTTAGGCGTACTAGTACACCAAAATCCCTGGTGCATAAGCCGTACTAGTACGTCCAAAACCCTGAAAGGGTTAAGTGAGGAGAGGCTGCAATAATGAAATACACAATACAGAAGTCTCAACACGTTCATATGTAGAGGACTGACTGTATCCAGAAAGTCAGCCCAGCATACACCTAAGAACTGGCAGAAGTCTAACATGGAAATAAGGGAGAGGTGCTGACATGAGTAAGAATGAAATGATGACTTGTGTGGGAATTTATTGGGCTACCAGCAAGCTTTGATCATAATAAACTGCCCTATGGGCAGTAATGAAAGGGCACCATACTGAGTATAAGACCCTACGGGAGCCTCAGAGGTGAGTATTAGTGTCGCTGAGGCATGACATGGTCCAGGTAGGACCCTAGGTCCTTAAGCTGAAAAAAGATGCATTTACAAAGTAAATAATTTTACATAATAGAAGCTGGAAAATAATTTAATATAACTATGAAAATAATTGTAAAAATTACGACACAGAAATGTTTACCAGGAACGTAAGTCAAGACATTTTTTTACAATTTATAAATGTTTCACAGAAATGTAAGTTAAGATTTTTTTTTACTGTGTTAAAAGTTATTTGCAGTAGATTTTAAAATGATTTACTAAAAATCAGTAACTTTTGTTCCTCTACATAAGAATATACAGTAAATTAAAACCCTAAA